CTGCATTCTTGCAGCCAATGAGAAATAATGTGTGAGCTGTGATTGGTGACAGTTGCTTGTCACATGGTACAAGGCTGTTGTGAATAGCCTTGCACCATGTGACCTCACACGTAGTAAGCAATAATGTCAGAAGAGACATTTTGCTTACTACTATTCATGTGATCACTGATTGGCCAATCAGTGATCACATGATTGGGACTTCACACAGAGATCCCGTACAGCGATCGGTGTTCCGCTGTGTCCGGAGGAGCGAGCACAGGCTGTAAATGCGGGCGCCGTTTATGAATGGCAACCCGCACCTGCACTGCTCCCATCAGGACGTTTATGTAAATGGTCCAGACAGGAAGTGGTTAAAGTAAAGGTATTGCTGTTTCAACAGGCCCATAGCAGAAATGTAAAGATTGTTCTGGTCTGTAGGGGTGAACAGGTGTGAGAGGCAAAGATAGCACAACTATTAAGAAAAAAATAAACTACCTCAATACTGTATATATGTTTTTCAGCCTACCTTAAGAACTCTATATACAGCTTGGTTCACACCCCTCGGTTTTTAAGTGCATTTTGCAGAAACACACTACAGTCTATATAACATGGTTCCCTATGGGACACTTTCACATCTGTGTTTTTCAGCCACTGCATTTTTGAAAAGTGTCAGGGACTTTTTTTGTTTTTTTCTGCATTTTTTTGCCTCAATAGACCTCATTGGACACATGGCAGAAATGTATGCATTGTGTTTTTGATGTGGTTTGCATTTTTTTTTTGGGGGGGGGGGTTGCCAATAGGAAAGGACTTTAATGCAACTTTGGATTTGATGCAACTTTACATTCTCTGGCACTCAATACCATCAAAGTTGCATCCAAGTCATACCCATCCAAAGTGGAATCAAAGTCAATACTTTCCTATTGCAAGAAAGGAAAAAGAAATGCATCAAAAACACGCTGGAAAAATGCTTTAATTGCAAGAGGTGTGAACCTAGAGGTGTGAAATAGTCAATGCCTACTTAGCAACCAGGCAGCAAGGAAGTGACAACATACCAGCTTTTTCATCAAACGCCCCACATTCACATTTGGGGCCCACCCTTCACATCAAAGTCCCCCCATTTACATGAGGAGTACCCCCCCCCCCCGATCACCATTCACATTAGAGTCCCCCATTCAAATCAGAGTTTCTCCTTCAAATCAGGAGTCCCCCTCCACTGTTCACATCAGGAATCTCCACCTCACATCAAAGTGAGGTAATCATCACATTGAATCTGCATTAGCACAGCCCTACGACCTATCGGCCCTACTACATTCTAATGTTAACTCTCTACCACCCCACTTGAAACATAATTTGCTCATCTGTGATACGCTTATTACATGGAGAGAAGTCAGGCGCAGGGCGGACTGACAACTCATGGGGCCCCCGGGCAATAGGGGATCATGGGGCCCCTATGTCCTTGCCCACACTCAAAGCACACCCAAAAAAGCCTATAAAAAAGGTACCAGGAGCATTTCATGGGGCCCTCTACAGTGCCCGAGTGCTTGAATGGTCAGTCCACCCCTGGTCAGGCGTAAACTAGAGGTCTCTCCGTGGCTCTCTCGCTTTCTTCCGATTCATCATAACCCCTAATTTTTCTCCCCCGCAAACTTATGATGCTTATGAGATCTGGCTGGCCCAAGATTTAACTTTGATTCAGCACTTGTATATACCTCTACGGGTTCCCCAAAGTCTCTCAACAGCGTCCTACAAATCTACGGTCTTCAAACGCACCACTTTTTTTATATGCTTCAAGTGAGAAACTTTGTCAACTCTGTGGCACCTATTAAATCTACTAGATTTCAGATGACATTCATTGATGTCTTGGCAAACTCTCAAAAGTATAAAATATCGAACATATACAGATCCATGAATCTACTGTACGCAAAACCTCTTGAGACATTCAATGCTGTGAAATCCTGGATCAAAGACTTTGATAATACCTTTACAGCTGACCAACTACTATCTGGCTTCAACTCCACATGTGCCTTTAATCACGAGTTCTGGCGGGAACAACAACTCAAAATTCTTCACCATGCTTATATGCCCTGTCTCTACTTAAGATGTAACCAGGCTCTGTCTACTTGCCCTCTCTGCAGAAGTTGAAAACCTTCACTACCACACCGATTCTGGCAGTGTTCTGTTATTTCCATATTTTGGAAACAAGTGGTCAACTTCATAAATGTCATCACCACCTTCCAAGTACCTATTAACCCGCTTCTGCTCCTCTTTGGCTATCTGGAACAACCAGTTATTGACCTCTTCTCCTCCCAAACAACATCCTTCAGAAACAACAAACCTTGGATATCCACAGTTCTCCTAATAGCTAGACGGGCCATTCTCCGAAAATGGATCTCCAACACTCGTCCAACACTTACGGACGTTAAACAAGAGCTCAACTCTCTTCTACGCCTTGAAAGACTCAATCTTATAACCTCCCCAACCTCCTAAAAGGAGTCCTACTATTTACGCAAATGGGAATCCTATATCACAGGATCCCTATCCACACAGGAACAGGCTCTTTTTCTCCAGAACTCAAATTTATTAAGTCGTCCATTGCAAAATTTCAAACCCTGTAGCACTGGAGCCATTGCCTAATGATTTAGTTGACTTTGATATCACCTGCTAAGTTAGTTTAACTCACTGTCTTATCTCTATTGTCATCCTCCTCTCTTCCTCCATTTATCTCCTATCCTCCTCCATTACAGCTGAACTAGACCCTCCGCTTAACTTCTTAACTCAGGATCTTACACTTGCATACCCACATACACACCAGCCACTATCTGTTTAACTTAGATCTTCATTCAGTCACGGAAGCATGACACCCCCTCATAGCCGCTTAAAGCGGAACCCAAAACCACGTGATTCCTTCTCTTCTTTTTCTTTCTCTTCTTTCTTCTCCTTCTTCATCTCTCTCTAGTCTAACAAGGTCCCCGGGTATTATGTCCATACTCCTCTATATTTCTTTTCTTCAGCTTTCATATCGTTCTCACCATCAACACTCCCAACAAACTCTATACACTCTTTGTCCAATTTCCCCCCCCCCCCCCCCCCCCGTCCCTTATCCCCCTACCTAATTTCAGCTCCCAAGTTCTTCTCTTATTACCCTTTCTTGTTTTGTTTTGATATCGGTGGATAACAATTGACATATGTTACATCTATGTCATTTCAATCTTACTACGGACAAACCATATCATTATCTTACTCTCCCAACGCACTCTATACTTGCTATCATTTTCCCTCTTCTACACATACGCTACTTGCTCACCACTTTTCTATACTACTCTTTTTATCATTCACCTATGCTGACCTCTTAATTTGTGGCTATATGAATGTCTTCTAGTAATTGTTCTCATTATACCAAGTGTTTTATTTGCCACACCACCACTTCTCTGATCAGATATAATATGATGTGGCAACTGTGTCATAACTATCTCACCGCATTAATCTGTAACACCTTGTGAAAACCCAATAAACATTCTTTTTAAAAAAAAAAGTGAGGTAATAAAGCTTACCTGTAGGTAAAATGAATATCTCTTCTGCAGTGGTGACAGCACACCGGTGGAGGGCTTCGTTCTAAGGTAAGTCTTTCATATTGTGCTAGCATACGATACATACACATTATGATATTACCTTGCAGGAAGAAGACTTTTTTTAAAGTCAAGTTTACTACCACTTTAGATAAAGCACTAAGTTTCCTCAATAACTAGAAACAATCTAACTCTTAGCTTCTTACTAACTGTAAGTGAACCTGCTAACAAGTTCCTCATGAGCATGGCCTTATCTTGCAGCTATACCAATCTCTGACTACAATGACACATCCCAGAAAACTAATGTATATGCTGAAATGAGAGGAGGAGGTAGGAAAGTCTCTGTCACGAGAGCAGTGGTCTCCAAACTGTGGCCGAATGTGGCCCTTTGCTTGCTTTTATCTGGCTCTTGGGCCACTATATAGCTACTGCCACTGACATCAACAACTAGGCACTATTCCTCCCAATGACACCAATGATGTAGAGCTATTCCTCCCACTGACACTGATGGGGCATTATGCCCCCCACTGACACCAATGATGGGGCACTATTCCTCCCACTGACACCAATGATGGGGCACTATTCCTCCCATTGACAACGATGGGGCACTATTCCTCCCACTGACAACAATGGGGCACTATTCCTCCCACTGACACTACCGATGGGGCACTATTTTTCCCACTGACACCAACAATGGAGCACTAATCCTCCCACTGACACCAACGATAGGGCACTATTCCTCCCACTGACACCAACGATGGGGCACTATTCCTCCTATTGACACCAATGATGGGGCACTATTCCTCCACCTGACACCAGTGATGGGGCTCTATTCCTCCCACTGACACTAACGATGGGGAACTATTCCTCCCACTGACACTAACGATGGGGCACTATTCCTCCACCGGACAGCAATGATGGGGCACTATTCCTCCACCTTACACCAATGATGGGGCTCTATTCCTCCCACTGACACCAACGATGGGGGCACTATTCTTTCCAGACACCAAAGATGGTACACGGTTAACTCCCACTGACACCAGTACATTTTCTACTCCCGCTGACCACAGGCCAGCCATCCTAAAGTTTGAAGGACAGTAAACTGGCCCTTCATTTAGAAAGTTTGGAGACCTCTGCATTAGAGTATTGAGCTGATATTTGTATCCAACCCACTAAAATCTCCACTCACATTCTAGCTCTTAAAAGGAACTGTGGATATGGGTATATCACCTCATCTGACCTGCAATACATCAGAACCTACATAAAGACTCCTGGAAAGCCTTACTGCATAAACCAACTTTATCAGCAGTAGATCAGCGGTTTTTGAAATACTCAGACCAGCCTGTCTTGCACCAACAACCATGACACAGTCAAAGCCACTTAAATCCCCTTTCTTCCCCATTCTGATGTTCGGTTTGAACTTCAGCAACTCGTCTTCACCGTGTCTAGATGCATAAATGCATTGAGTTGCTGCCATGCAGTGCTGGGACAAGACCATCTAGCGCTAGGGTTGTCAGTCAGTACCACCCATCAGTGCAGCCTATCAGTGCCCATTATTGTTGCATATCAGTGCAGCACAGGGGCGGACTGACCTTTCATTGGCTTTTTTGGGTGTGAGCGAGGACACAGGGGCCCCATGATCCCCTATTGCCCGGGGGCCCCATGAGTTGTCAGTCCGCCCCTGGTGCAGCATCAGTGCCTCATCAATGCCCACCAGTGCTGCCTCATCAGTGCAGCCTATCAGTACTCATCAGTGCTGCCTAACCATGCCACCTCATCAATGCACATCAGTAAAGGAGAAAAATAACCTGTTTGCAAAATTTTATAATAGAAACAAAGAAAACTTTTTTTTCCAAATCTTTTTGTTTATAGTGCAAAAAATAAAACACCCAGCGGCGATTAAATACCACTAAAGGAAAGTTCTATTTGTGTGAAAAAAATTATAAAAATTTCATATGGATACAATGTTGCATGACTCATAATTGTAATTTAAAGTGCAACAGCACTGAAAGCTAAAAATTGCCCTGGGCAGGAAGGGGGTAAAAGTGCCCAGTAGGCAAGTGTTTAATTACCACCTTATAAAACTCAAAATAGCGCAGCGCATGATAAATATATGCAAAGTCAACCAATAAAATATGATGAGTCTTAGGTATGGGAGTGGGCGAAAGGTTATCCACCAAGTGTTTCACATATGCTCTGGAAGCAAGGAAGTAGCCATAAAATGGTATATGACATCCGGTGGTGTGCGAAAGATTAGTGGGATTGCAAACTCACCAGAAGCGCAATCGTAATGCGCATTGGATAATAATAATCAGCCTGGAGAACTCCCATCAGTGGAACCTGGTCTGGTCTAGGATTCTCCCCCTCTGGTGGTACGGATGTTTATTAGGCGATGTCAGTCAGAGGTCAACTCCAAAGTGGTATAAATGGATCCTAGACTGTAAGCTTGAAAGGGCAGGGCCCTCTAACCCTCGTGTATTGTGTATTGTTTTGTCTCATGTCTTGTCCCCCATTCTAATGTACAGCGCTGAGCAAACCCTTTGGCGCTATATAAAGAGCTTCTCCATTACTTTGCGATGTAGGAAATAAGGCAGAAGTAATGGAGAAGCTCTTTGGTTGCCCCTCATATTAACCCCTTCCTGCCCAGTACCATTAGTACAGTGTAAGTGCTTTTTTTTATCACTGATCACTGTATTGGTGTCACTGGGGATGTCAGTGACACCAAGTCAGTTCCTCCCAGTGTCAGAATGCCTGCCGCAGTCCCGCTATAAGTCGCTGATCGCCACCATTACTAGTTTGCAAAAAAAAAATCCCAGTATCTATACCGCTATTTGTAAACTTTATAAATTTCACATAAACCAATTAATTTACACATATTTGGATTTTTTTTCAGCAAAGACATGTAGATGAACACATTTTGGAATAAATTTATGATGAAATTTGATTTTTAAAATGATTGTACTGGACATGTTTAATAGCAAAAAGTCAAAAATATTGTTTTTTTTTTCTCAAAATTGTCACTTTTTTTTATAGCACAAACAATAAAAAACGCACAGGCGATCAAATACCGAGAAAGAAAGCTCTATTTGTGGGGAAAAAAGGACATAAATTTCATTTGGGTGCAGCGTTGCATGATCATGCAATTGTCAGTTAAAGTAACACAGCGTTGTAATGCAAAAAATGGCCTGGTCAGGAAAGGGGGGTAAATCTTCAGGAGGGCACGTGGTTAATGTGTGTTCAGTTTTAAAGGGATGAGGTGACAGCCCTATCAGTAGCAGCAAAACTGAATACATCCCATTGCTTTTCTCTTCTGTGCAGCTGAACGAAACTATCCGATCACACCACAACCCGGATATGGAAGAAGAGCAGAATATGCCAGTACTCCCCGCCCCCTTCCCTGACTGCTATTTTTTTTTTTTACGCTGCCCCGCCCCTTTTCCTAACTATTTTCTTCCCCTTTCACGGCACAGGTACTTCGCTCAACCTCGCCCCGCTCTATTGCCTGACTGGCGCCTCCTCTTCACGGAAGTTTTCTGGGTTACTAGGACGACGAGGGAGCTCTCTGGGAAAGTGCCGAAGCCGCAGATCCGTGTATAGCCGACTCGAGAAAGTTCTGGCACAGAAGGGGGCGTGTCTATGCTTCGCTGTCTATATATATATATCCGTGTAGCAGGTGTGTGTTTAGTGACACAGCGGCGCTTAGCGGAGGACGAGGGTTGTGGGGCAGTCTGTACTTAGTACTGGATGACCAGAGGTCTGTTGTCAGGGATAATTCCGGCGATCTGATACAGGAGGGGCTCTGTACCCAGGAGAGCAAGGTAACTGCAGGGGGCATAGGTCACATAGGAGTGCATGCTAGACGTTTGCTGGGTTCCTAGAGCTGTATGCTTCTACTGTATCTATAGATATACTGCACTCCTCTTGGTGGTGGTGCTAACACTAGGCTGCTATCAGCAACATTAACACAGTTATATGACGAGCTGATTACACTTTGTACACAAGAACCTTGTGTCAGGATTGCTTAGGGCTCATTCACATGGGGTGGTAAAAGCGGACAGTTGAGCTATTATACAGGATCAGGGGTGTCCCTAGGCAGGTGTGGGGGGTGTGTGCTGCACCAGGTGACACCTATCGCACGGGGTGACACCGGACCCGCTCCACAAAAGATACTTTTTTTTTTTTTTTTTTTTTTTTAAAGCAAGCTTTCGATCCCTGCAGGATGGGTTGGATCTGCCAATTGGGGAGGATAATGGATGGGACTCCGATCCATTATGCTCAATCCGCAGATCGATCCATCCTGCGTGGATCGTCGGAGGGGGTGTCACCAAGTGTTACTGCACTGGGTGACACCCAGGGGCGGACTGACCATTCGAACACTTGGGCACTGCCTGAGGGCCTGGGCTCAGTAGGGGGCCCCATGAGATGCCCCTGGTATGTTTCATGGGCTTTTTCATAGGCTTTTTTGGGTGTTGGTGAGGACACAGGGGCCCCATGATCCCCTATTGCCTGGGGGCCCCATGAGTTGTCAGTCCGCCCCTGGTGACACCAACCCTAGGGACGCCCCTGTACAGGATTTATATAGCGCCCAACAGTTTGCTCAGCACTTTACAATATAACGGGAGACAATACAGCAACAATACAGTTCAATACAAGAGGGTAAGAGGGCCCTGCTCCTTGGAGCTTACAATCTAAGAGGAAGGGGCTGGTGGTACAAAAGGTGATAACTATGGGGGATGGACTGATGGGAGAAATAGAAGATTTGGTTATTACCTGAAGGCAGGATAGGCTTCCCTGAAGAGAGAGGTTTTCAGAGATCGCCTAAAAGTGAGCAGAGTAGACAATAGTTGGATAGATTGGGGTAGAGAGTTCCAGAAGACGGGAGAGGCTCTGGAGAAGTCCTGGAGATGAGACATTGGAGGAGGAGACGAGGGAATAGTTTTACCCCCACTCCATTCACCTACAGAAGGGCTTGTAGCTTCCCAGGGCTATACACACATGGTTTCATGAAAAATGAAACCATGTCACTTACAGCAGAAAGGATCACCACCAAATGTGACTCGTCTAGGTGTATGGGGCTACAATGCACGCGGTAGTGGCACAGTGGTTCCGCCCTTGTAGAGTTAAAACTGGAAGCAAGAAGATGATCTTTCACCTCCACCCTCCCAGTCAAAGGGTGGATTGTTTTTCAGGTGTGATAAGAAATGTCACTTGTCAGTATGAGCCCTAAGTGCTGTAGAAATTCAGAGGACATTTCCTGGACACACAGACGAACAGTACTCCCTGATCATAGAAATCCTCATGTCTCTAGAATTTTGTCTTTTGGGGGTTTTTTGGATTGAGCTTCAGCACTAAGTATATGACACATATGCATTTGTGCCATTAAAGTGATTGTAAATGCTCATTTTTGGTTTATAATAATCACAAACGTCATGATTACCAGTCCCAATCCTCCTCTTATTGTGTCTCCTGTTGGTGTTCCTGGCTACCTGCCCCTCTGAGTCACTTGTTATGGGGGCACTCATGCAGGCTCTCTCCCTCCTCACTGGTTGTGGTTGACAACAGCAGGAGGAGCCAGTGACTTGCATTTTTGTCTCTGAGCCAATCAGGAGGGAGAGAGCAACTGCTCTCATGCACATGGCTGGATAAACATCAGGCTCAGATTAGTATAACGGGGGAGCTGGGGGGGGGGGGGGGGGGGGGGGACTGAATTCAGAAGTTTTTTTTTTTTTTTTTTTTTTTTTTTACCTTATTATTATATAAAATGCATTAAAGTAGTTCTAAACCTCAGACATGAATTTTGAACAAAGCATATCCCTCTATAGTGTTTACCTGTAGCAGTTAAGAGCACTCCTCTAGCAGCATGAGTCACTTCTAACAAGTTTTCCTGACACCAAGAGAACAATGGTGACAGGGGACAGAGCTTCAGCAGAGTGACAGCCTCAGCTCTGTTCCTGTGAGCTTCGTGGAGGGGGTATGTTTTTTCCCTCCAGTCAGCTCTACTTTGAGCTCTGCAGTGTATAATTTCAGCTCTCTGCCCCCTTTTTTCTGAACTCTCAGACAAGCTATACAAATTAAGCACTTTGGATGTGGAAAGAGAAGACCACTTAGAACTGTGTGTGCATTATGTCAGGGTTTGTAAGTTTGGCAACTTGTGCAGTGATACCAGTAGTATAGATAATGTGCTTGATCAATGACTGTGCATCTAATTTTAGAAAGATGCCTTGGCTCATCTAACGGCACCCATAGATGTGAAATGATCATCAAGCTCTTGCCAGTTGTTTAATTTTAGATCCGTGCTTTGTATAAAGACATGCCAAAGTCCATTTAAAAGTAGCCATCGATTTGAAGTGATCATCTCCCTTCTCAGTCGGTTTGGTTAGATTGCGTGTTCTATGGTTTTTGGTTGCCAGCAGACTACTGTAGATGTCTCCAGCTTCTTGTGAGATGAAAAGCTGACTGTCCTGTTGGATATTTCTATTTGATTCTTGTTTCTCCCAAGATGAGCAAAAGGTCTGTAGCTGCCTTTCCTTTTTTTTCCCCTTGCTTTGAAGTAGCAGTAAACCACCACAAAAATAACAAAAAAATAGGTCCCGTGCAAGTTTAAGTCCTAATGTACTAATATGCACCGCATACTAGCGCATTATGACTTACCTGCACATGGAGCCCTCCAGCACAGCTTTGTCACGGCTCACCCGGTCTTCCTTTCGGGTTCGCTGGCCCTGGCTGTATGAATGGCTGAGGCCACGATAACGCATGCGTGCAGGAGCCCCAGCCACATGACAGCGTGGGAATGCCATCCTTTTCAGATCCGACGGTGATGTCACTGCCTGCATCCCATGTGAATATCTACGAAACCGTGCAAGTGCAGGAGATATTCGCTGTGCATACAGGTAAGCTTTAATTTAGGCCTACCTGTTGGTGCAAGTTAAAAAGTAGACTAAACTTCCACTTTAATACCTGGTAATACTTGCCTATGCTGTGCAACAATATTGCTCAGAACATTCCCGATCTCCTTTTTAGCTCTCAGCTGGCTAGGTGCTCAAGAGGTACCCAAGAGGCATGCATGCATGCTCTTGAGCTGGGCTATGTGCATCCATATACATACACAGTGCTGGTAAACCACACACCCCCACTCCCTCCTGAATGAGTTTAACTGACAGTGGAAGTAGCCTGTGGCTCCCTCTGCTCTCTGTGTCTTCTGTAAGACTAGGGAGCGAGCCTAGCAGTGCTGCAGCCGAAACAATGCTGGAGTGGTGACAGGTAGGTAAGTGTTTAGGGATGGGAGTGGGTAGGACAAGTAGTGGGATGTTTTTACATTCATTTTTATTTTACCCTAATGTATTCTCTGTATTAGACTTTAAAACCACTTTAAGTCTGCACTGAAAGATAAATTTCAATGGCTATGCAAATGGTCAGATTTTTCCACCATATACTAATTTATATGTATTAATTTCAACAGTCAGAATGGTCAAGGAGACTGGATACTATGATACCCTTGGTGTTAAAGCAAATGCCACCCCTGATGAGATCAAAAAGGCATACAGAAAATTAGCTTTGAAATACCATCCTGACAAGAATCCAAGCGAAGGTGAAAAGGTAAGATACATTAACTGACCATTTAAGTCTTTCTGCCCTGCTTCTTAATATTTCTAGCTGAGGGCACAAGTATCCTTTTTAATAAATGCTGTTTGAAGTGGAATGCAGCCAAAACACTTATGTAGTACTTAAAGCGGAGCTTCAGCCAAAAGGGGAAGTTCCGCTTTAAGGACTGCTCCCTATTAAGGATTGGCACCTTTGGGGGGCGAGGGAGAGCGGGTACCCGAGTTAGACAGGTACCTGCTCCGACTTCCGGTCCGATCGCCTAGGCGATTGGAAGCAGAAGGTGTCCTCCCTCCATCCCTGTAGTCTTTTGGGACACGTAACAGGTCCCAGAAGACTACAGGACCATTCATGAAGCGAATGCGCGCATTCGCAGTGGGTACCCGGCTGTGAAGCTGCAAACTATCACAGCTGGGTGCCCTCACCAAAGATGCTGGCCTCCTGGAACACAGGACGGCCGGTGAAACGAGCTGCGGGGGACACACCACGGGACCGAGGGACAAGTGGCTGTTTTTTCTGTTTTAATATTTTTATTAGGAAAGTTTTGTTTTAGGAACATAACAAGCTCAATATACACCCACGCAGGGGCCGAGCATAACAATAACACAGAACAGATACATCCTGCTGACTTGTATTAGCCAAATAACAAAATGTCCAATGACCGCAAGGAAGGACGGCAAAAGGCCGAACCAAATATTACTAGCAGTAGTCCAACATAATACCGTAAAGAGAAGAGGAAAGAAAAAAAGGTTAGAGGAGAAAAAAAAAGAATCAGAAAAAAAAAAAAGTAAAGGGAGACTAGGAGAATCACGGATCCAGGGCTAGCACAGGCAGCAACTACAAGAGGCCATAACTAGTAGGGGGCAGGGATGGCAAGGAATATCTTATCCAAGGTTCCCAAACCTTAAGGAATCTTGGATGAGAATCATGAAGAATGCTAGACATTTGTTCATTGATCAACATATCATTCATCCGGGTCTTCACCCCTTGGAAGACAACCAAAGGGGTTCTCCAAGCTTGCGCTATGGCACGTTTGGACGAAATAAATAGATAGGATGCCAATTTTTGCTGAGATCTAGACAGACCCAAAATTGGGCAGTGCAGAAGGGCCACCTTTGCATCCCTACGGACCGTAATGTCAAATAGTGTTTGTAGCAGACCAAAAACCCTAGACCAAAAGCCTATCAATCGCGGGCACGACCCCCAAATGTGTAAGACTTCCCGCGCGAAGACCACAGTTGGAAACATCTATCTCTGCCAGTCGGATTAAAGTGAGCAATCCGAGCCGGGACCCAGTGTCACAGATCGCACGATCGCCACCCTCAATATGCGACGATCGCACGACCGCGACGTCAGACCCCAGATCTTCTCACCAAACTCGTGACCGAAAGACTGGCAGATCTAAAACCACGATGTGACATGCGTAACAATGCCACGCCCAGCTGCACCCTGCACAACGATTTTTCCAGCTAATGGACAAACCGATCGATGTGCCGTCAGCCTGAGCGATTGTTACTGGGTCGGGTTAATTGCGCAACTAACCCTTTCACACTGCCACCACCTCCTTTTTATCAGAGAAAGCGGAAACTGGGGTATCAGTTAATACACTATAATGATTGAAATAATTGTCTGTAAAAAAAACTGTCCACAGGCCAGTTATACAGAGATTAAAACAAACAGTAGCGTCTCTTCAGAGGCAGGGATTTGTGAATTGCGATAAGAGCTATAGGAACAGTTCAAATCTTTCAGAAGAAAGATTTATTACTAAAAGGGTCAAACAGGTGCAATAAAAATATTTACATAGAAGATGTAACGAAGATATGGATGGATGGATGGATATATTACACACCATAGCATAGTAAAGCGATAATAGGAAGGAAGTTAAGGGGTTAAGTTACTTCTTGCCAGTACGCCTTGGTGTGTAAGCAGATCCAAGTTGCAGAGCGAAAGGGTCTCCCCAGGTGGTATTGATGTTAAAATGGGAGATGTCTTTAACTTAACTTCTGAGGCCTGCTAGCCTGTTTTTAAAATGTCCCAGTAGGGGGGTGGCTCTGAGTAACTGACCAATACTGTTTAGGGAGGGATCGTCAGGTGGAACCCCTAAATTAGAACCAACATCTTTCATAATTCATATTCTGGTCTATAACTTCTCAGCTGCACGAGTGATGGTCCCCTCGTGGGTATATTATTACACAGACAAGTCTGAGGATTATTTAGACATGAATTATGAAATTATATGCTGCATAGTTCACGAGATCTAGGTTTCTGCTTCCCTGAGCGTGCAAAACGAGTGCAGTGACCTACTAAACTATTCTCCTGCTCACTGCCCATCCGATGATATGTCTGGCTTTTATGTATGTCTCTCATATTCCAAGATATGAGACATAGGATAAAAATTGATTTGGGGAATGTTCATTTAATTCTGTCACCTACGCTGCTAGGTTTTATGAGGTTAAAACCTCTTTCAATTCCTGGGAAAGCGGCCTTATCTCTGTTACGAGGTGAGAGATTCCACACGTTCTTGGGCAGAGGGGCTGTGTCTCTTGGGGGGGCTTTCTAGCTCTGGGCCCCCTGCTGCTCTAGCCTGCCAGTGACCCACAACCAGATGTCGCTGTGGCTGGACAGAGAGGAAAGGGGGGAGGATGCAGGAAAATATATTTCAGGATGGTTAGTCCCTTCGCCAAGATGGAGGTTGAAACCAAAATGGTTGAACCGCGTCCATCTCTGATGCGCGCTTTTGCGACATTGAGTACCACCGCAGAAGAAACTTTATAGGCTGCCTCGAGTGACTGTATTGAATGAACATTTTTGCCACCATCCCCCAGGCCCTACGCCAATCCTCCACTGCAATCGAGCCACCCAGATCTCGCTCCCATTGAGACGTAAGACAGGGGTGGTGAGGAGGACCTACTATTAAGGGAGGCATAAATTACAGAAATGAGACCAGGGGACCCTGGGGAGTGCTGACAATCGTGTTCAAGGATGTTTTACGGTAAGGGTATGTAGAAGTAGGACGGAGGGATAGGACCCAGTGGCACAATTGCAAATACTGATATTATTCCCGTGGCGGGACCCCCCTCTTGGTTCTCGAAGAGACTCCCATGTAGGAAACGTACGAGCGCTCAGAAAATCATGTAGAATAACAAAGCCATGGTAGGTCCACCAAGAGAAAATGTTCTAGGCTTGGCAGAAATAAAGGATTATGCGTGATCGGCAAAAGAAGTAGAAATGATGAAATCAAATTGCCCGAAAATTTTACAGAATCCCAGGTTCGTAAACTGAAGCATGATGGGGCTCAAATCCGGAGGGCGTAACTTAGGCGGGAGCCAAAGCAATACAGTTGGGGAAAGCGGAGCACAGTTTGGTCATTTCAAGAGTACCCATAACAGTATATCTGTCGTGGTATGAAGCATAGACAACTGGGAAATCTGAGCCGCCAAGTAATACCTAGAAACGTGTGGAACTCCTAAACCTCCCTGTAATCTGAGTATATAGAGTGGATCCAGGCACTCTGGGACCTTTGAGCCCAGAAGTGGCTGTTTTTTAAAAGTCAGCAGCTACAATTTTTTTAGCTGCTGACTTTTATTTTTTGACAGCGTGAATGGAACTCCGCTTTAAATGGTGTAGGTAAGGATTAGATTTTTATTTCTGTTTTGAGTTCCTGCTAGGGGTTTTCTCTTTGCTTTCTGTACCAGACACCACAGGAAGTAAGAAGAAATCTCCTATAAGCGGAAATCCCATCTTGGACAGTAGTCACAAGTTCTGATTAGCCTAAGGAAGGGTTTGATATTTTTATTTTGGTCTTTTATACATTTTGGAAATGTTTCCCACATGTCCTGTTCCACTAAGATTGGCGGGCAGGAAAATAAATCAACAGGGAACTGTTTATAACTCTAAAGTTCCTTTTACATTTGTGCATCATGTTGATGATTGCATGTTCACATAGTTTTTATGGCGCATATTAACTTGCATTATTCTATCTCATTTATCATATCCCAAACATTTGTTTGAATAGGCTGCCAGCTTTACACTTGACACCTTTTTTGTAGCATAGCATGCTCTGACCAAAAGTAAAAAAGCCTTTTTGTTTTTAAATGAAAAAATTACAGCATGGCAGTGTTGGTGATTTTAGAAGTAAATACAGTTTTTACATTTCTCTTGTATACTTTTTTAATATAAAGTTGTGTGTTAAACAAAATTAATGTAGACTTTTTCTTCCTAGTTTAAACTAATTTCTCAAGCCTATGAGGTGCTGTCTGACTCCAAGAAGCGAGGCCTCTATGACAAGGGTGGAGAACAAGCTATTAAAGAAGGCGGGATGGGTGGAGGAAAATTCTCCTCTCCCATGGACATCTTTGACATGTTCTTTGGTGGAGGTGGGCGCATGAACAGAGAGAGAAGAGGTAAATGAAAACAAGTTTGTTAGCCCGCGTTCACACTGATGCTGTGTGGAATTTGCATCCGTTTCTGTGCAACAGCTGCTCTCCATCACACCCTGTTCATACGAACCGCAGTGGATGTGTATTTTAACCAGTTGCCTACTGGGCTCTTATACCCCTTCCTGCCCAGGCCAATTTTCAGCTGTCAGCACTGTCACACTTTGTGTGAAAACTGCACGGTCATGCAACACTGTACCCATATGAAATTTTTATAATTTTGTTTTTTTTCACACAAATAGAGCTTTCTTTTGGTGGTATTTTAATAGCATCTGGGTGTTTTATTTTTTGCGCTATAGACAAAAAAGAGCAACAAATTTGAAAAAAAGGTCTTCTTTGTTTCTATTAACATTTTGTAAACAGGTAATTTTTCTCTTTCACTGATGTACATTGATGAGGTGGCACGGATGGGGTGGCACTGATAGGCAGCACTGGTGGGTGGCACTGCTAGGCACTGATCATCAGGGCTCTGATCATCAGTGCTGCTCTGTTTTCTGACAATTGCCGGTTATCGGCAGTACTTTCCTCGCGCTGTGACAGCGTGAAGAAAGTGCAGCCGACAGCCGGCAACTGCATTTACCCGGTGATCTGCTGTGTCATTGGACACAGCTGATCATGTGGTAAAAGACCGCTGTGATTGGCCTTTTACCACATTAGGAGATCAGCTATGTCCGTTGGACACAGCGATCATGGAGTTCGCAGGGTGCACGCCACTGGGGGTGAGTGGGAGGGCATGTTCTGGGAGCATGTCATGACGCCCTCCCAGAACTGGACAACCGCGCTGTAGCCATCATTCGGCTATAACCCGGCTGTCAAGTGGTTAAGTTAGCCACACCCCTAAATCAGTTTGCAAAACATGGTGCAACGTGCAGAATTGGATCGTATGGTTGTGACCATCCATGCGATTTGATTCTGGTGCAGACAAAAAAAGTCCTGCACTTTTTTGATGTGGTGCGATTTGAGCCATACAAAATATATGGCTCAAGTTACACCGTACTGAAATTGCATGTGATTTGCACAGGAATGTAGTGCGCTTCCTGTGCGAATCACATGCAGTGTGCTGCACTGCATCAGTGTGAACCCGGGCTGAATGTCATTCACCAGCTCCTAGATTTTGCAAGTCATTGAGCAGCTCCTTGTCAATTTGGTACATTATCTTGGCATAACATAACACACTTTAAAGCTCAGCCCACCCTAAACTTATATTCAAGGATGTCCTAGTTGCTAGAGTTAAATTACTTAGCAGTTCCTTGTATCTCTAAGGCATTTAAATGATATGTGAGGATAATAAGTGGTTTTAAGTTGCTTTATCTTCATGCATTCTATGCATGAAGGTAAAACAATTTCTGTATCCAGCTCCCCTCCAGAGCTCCCCCTTATACTGATCTGAGCCCTATCACAATCCAGCACTGTGTATGAGAAGAGGTGCTCTCCTGGCTCTGTCCCTCCTCACAGGGCTGATCTATAGCAGCGGGAGCCATTGGCTGTCAATCAAACTCTGTGATGAGGGAGTTGGAGTGAAGGGGAATGCCCCAGTGTCTGTGTCTATGGATGCAGGCAGTGGGGCTTGAGAGCTAGCCTGTACAAGTGCACCCATAGAAAACAGCTTCCTGGGGGACACTGGATGAAGAGGAGGAGCCAGGAGCTCAGGTGGGGGACCCAAGAAGAGGCGGATCAAGGCAAGTATAACATGTTTCTTATTTTTGTATAAATATTATTTATTTTAACTTTTTTCCTTTTAGAAACATTATAATTCACCTCCCCCGTTTGGATGGGTTGAACTTTTTACTATAGTCCATAACTTTGTTTATACCCCACATTTTAGCCCACCAGTATAACTATTAGAAATTACAACACTGTCTCTTTAGGTAAAAATGTGGTGCACCAGTTGTCTGTAACTTTGGAAGAGATCTATAATGGATCAAGTCGGAAGCTGGCACTACACAAGAATGTAATTTGTAACAAATGTGAAGGTAAGGCGCATACTGTACATTTACTTGATGTGTTGTTAGACCACTGCACCTTTTTGTTGCTTAATGTATTAATTGCATGATCTTTCTAGGGCTTATCTTTTTATTTGTAACCCTAACATCTATTGTACATATGTCACTAACAAAGACGTTCTTGTCTAAAGCTGGCCATAGATGGGTCGAATCTCGGCCAGTTCAGCAGTATCCAGATTCGAACCATCTACAAGTAGGCTGATTGTACCAAATCAATTGTTGTATGACTTTGGCACAACCAAGTCAGATTTTTCACATGATTGACAGCGGCTGTAGCCACTAGCAATAATCACTGTTCTCCCAATGGGGATGACATATTGTAACCAGGCTTTTTTGTGGCATTGGCGCAGTAAAGGCTTCTTTCTGGCAACTCAGCCATACAGCTCATTTTTGTTCGTATATCGTCGTATTGTGCTCCTTGAAACAACCATGCCATCTTTTTCCAGAGCAGCCTGTATTTCTCCTGAAGTTGCCCGTGGGTTTTTTCCTTTGTATTCCGAACAATTCTTCTGGCACTTGTGGCTGCCATCCTTCTTGGTCTACCTGGGCTTGGCATCAAGAGATCCCAAATTTTCCACTTCTTAATAAATGATTGAATAGTGCTGACTTTCAAGGTTTTGGATATCTTTTTATATACTTTTCCATCTTTATAGTTTCATTATCTTATTAAACAGGTCTTTTGACAGTTCTTTTTTGCTCCCTATGGCTCAGTATCTAGCCTGAGACCTAACAATCTCGTTGACTATTTATACAGACACTAACTGTAATTTAAAAATCCAGATATGGGAAATGTAACCTTTTTAATTGCAATTTTAACCCTTGTGTCACCTTGCGCGTCTGTACCAAGGCCAAACATTCCAGGGTATGTAAACTTTTTGGGCCATTTGGCCGATTTTCTGTTATCAATATGATTTTAAAAAGGAGCAAAACTAGGATAATAAATGGCTTCATATGATCACTATCCTTAAAGCGGAGTTCCACTCACACTGTAAAAAAAAAAAAAAAAAAAAAAAAAAAAAAAAAGTCAGCAGCTACAAAAACTGTAGCTTCTGATTTTTAAAAAACAGCCACTCCCCTGTCCCATGATCTTGCAGCGTCCTCCCCGCAGCCCGTTTCACCAGCCGTCTAGTGTTCCAGGTGCCGACATCTTCAGTGTGGGCACCCGGGTGTAACAGCTTGAGGCTTCACAGCTGGGTGCCCACTGCACATGCGCGAGTAGCGCTGCGCTTCCTGAATGACCCCATAGTCTTCTGGGACCTGTCACGTGCCCCAAAATACTATGGGGAGGGAGGGTAGAAGGACAACTTCCAACTGCCTAGGCAATCACAGCAGAAGTGGGAGCGGGTACCTGTCAAATTTGGGTACCCGCTCCCGCCCTCCACCCAAAGGTGTCAATCTTTAATGGGGAGCAGGGGACCAGTCTTTGAAGTGGAACTTCCCCTTTTGGGTGGAGCTCAGCTTTAAATAAGAGCCCCTTTTTTGGCATGATCAATCAGATTTTCAGTATCCATGCCAGGGTATGCAAACTTTTGAGCACAACTGTACATTACAAGAGTAAAGTTGTCTTTTACTGTTCTTTCAACACGTCTACGCTACTAGTTAACCTACTCTGATTTGTTCTTTTGTAGGACGTGGAGGAAAGAAAGGAGCAGTGGAGAAATGTACCACATCAAGGGCCGTGGTATCCGGGTTCATGTAGAGCAGCTTGCTCCAGGCATGGTCCAACAGATTCAGACTATGTGCTCTGAGTGCCGAGGTGAAGGTCAACGCATTAATCCTAAAGACCGATGCAAACCGTGTAATGGCAACAAGGTGGTACGAGAGAAAAAAATCCTTGAAGTGCACATCAAGAAAGGTAGGGTTTAAACTATTTTGCTTACTCCATTAACAAATCATATTTTTTGCTTTATCTTTTGGCATTTCGTTATCCATTTTTAAGATTTTATTTTTTCTAGGCATGAAAGATGGGCAGAAAATTGTATTCCATGGGGAAGGGGACCAAGAACCAGGTTCAGAGCCAGGTGATGTAGTTATTGTGTTGGATCAGAGAAAGCACAAGGTATTTCAAAGGCAAGAGGACAATGTGATTATGAAAATGGAGATTCGGTTAGTTGAAGCGTTGTGTGGGTTTAAGAAAACAATCGAGACCATGGATGGCCGAACTCTTCTAATCACATCATATCCTGGTGAGTATACACTTGTAATTAGTATCTCTTTAAAATGGTTAGCATCTTATGAAAACTAGATTGTATATCTTTTGACTGAACGGGCTGACCTGTCTGTTCATGCCACAGAATTTTAAAATGGGTCTTGTAAAGTGTCATCATCTGATAAATCCAGTGAACATATTGTGTACAGTATGTCCAGAATGTATGTTACAGGAGAATAGTTAGTAGTTATCCTTAAAGTGTCTAGACACTGATTAAAATTTACTTTTGAAGCTCCCCCACCTCCTTTAGAGCGTGTTCTTGTGTTATTTTTTTTTTTTTTTTACCTTTAGTCTTCTAGCAGTGAATTTTCGCAGTGGGTCTGTCAGCACTGCAATAGGTAAATGTTAATTTCTGTCTAAGGGACAGGAAAGGCTTTTACTTACTGGATCCTCTGCTTCCTTGGCAGATGACATTCCCTCATGCTCCAGCAGTGATCTGTTCCTCCGCATTCCTACGTCCAATGCAGAGCTATTGGCCCTGCATCAGTCTTGGTGACAGAGGACAGAGGACTGCCAGAGCATAGGGGAGAAGAGGCTACAAGGATCAGTCTAGCGGTGCAGAGGAGCCTCTTGGAGTGGAGGATCAGGTAAGCTTTTCCAAGTCTCCTAGACATGAATGAGCATTTAACCCTTGCAGTGAGGGCACAGCCCCATTTTTAGAGGGCATTTTTACTTTTTCTGTTCAACTTTAAAGGAGTAAAAATGGGAATGTGCATGTTCTGCAGAGATGTGGTGTATATTATGTATGTATGAGATGTACATTTGAAGCATTAATATGGTTGTAATGGTAGAGGATTTTTTACCTTAATGAATTCTCTGCATTAAGGTTAAAAACCTTCTGCATACAGTTCCCCCAGGCCCCCAAATACTTACCTGAGCCCAGTCTCATTCCAGCTTTGTGCCTCCAGTGGCTCTCTGCTCTCTATTCCCTCATTGGACAGGCAGGCAGCAGTGGGAGCTAATGGCTCCTGCTGCTTTCAATCAGTCTGAGGAGAGAGTGGGGGCGGGACTGAGCCACGCCATGTGTCAACACACACAATTCAGCTTGTAACCTGAGCTTGTATGAGAGCCCCCATAGCAATCTGCTTGCTATGGGGGTACTTGGCAGGGGATGGAGCTGGGAATGCTGGAGGGGGATTCCAGAAGAGGAGGATCGGTGTTGATCTGTGAAAATACTGTGTATACAGAATGAGACGATTACTGCCTGTATTTACAGTTGACCAAAATTATAGAGCACAAGGTTTTCAAACATTGTACCCATGTTGGGACTGTTCATATTAAAAGTATGAGCAAAGCTTTTTTTGGCCATGCTTCAATTCTTGGTTACAGGAGTGCACTTTTTTTCTGCAGTCCTGTGACCCAGATCCAGTCAGCAGGCTAAACCCGCTGTCAGCTGACATCAGCGCAGTCAAGGCACTGCAGGGATCCCAACAATAGTGTTGGGATTCACCAAGATGCTTGACCAGCAGCTGGCTCAGCCTCTCAGAGCTCTGTTGAGAGCCTGAGCACTGGAGGAACAGAGCAAGGACTGACCGTCACTGCTGTCCTCTCAATGATGACTGAGAACTGAGTGATCAGCTTTCATGTAATCACTCGGTTCTCGTTCTTGGAGTCAGCGGGGGCAGCTTCAGCATTGGACTGATGCTGCCGCCACATAATTGAGTTTAGCGTTTTGTTTTTTTTTTAAATCCCAAACTTCTCATTTTAAGCCAGTCAAATTCAATTTTAGTTTAAGTGCTGTATGTATACTTACAGCATTACCAACAAAACACAACAAGGTGAATAGGAAAAATCAGTGATGACCCCAAATGTTCATTTCAGGTGAAGTCATAAAGCATGGGCACATGAAATCTATACAGAATGAAGGCATGCCTTTACAGAGAGATCCGTTTGAGAAAGGACTACTTATTATTAATTTCCTGGTAAGTTACTCTTTAAGATTTTTCACATGCTAGCTGTGTATATTGTAATGAATATGTAAAGACTCCAGTGACCTGACTGGTATATTCCCCCTTTAATGTTATGGGATCACTTACATCAGATGGAAATCTTAGACTTGGTACACAGTGGTGTTAATATTGGGAGCGGGGTGCAAAATCATTAACCCATACAGGGCAATCTTTGAATGTCAGGCGTGAAAGTGTATGGAGCAACACTTTGAATGTTCAGGGTAATACCACCCCACATTTAGCTCCATTATGCACAAAAGAATATGTGCAAAGTGCAAAAGTGTATGTGAGCAGAAAGATGCCATAATAGTAGCAGCTCATCAGTGCGGTAAAATATAAAGCCCTATGATGTAGTCATTTAGAAAAAGCACACTGAAGAATTTCATCATCAAAATAAAAATTTGTATCTTTGCATATTTTGTGATGAGACTCCTAAACAAGAGCAACCAGTGCTTCAGTTCCCCTTCATATTGAGGTTGTTATCACTGTGAACAACATGTTGTGGCTTTTCAGACTGCTCCTGTAGTTCCACTTGCTGGTAAAAAAAAAATATACTGTTGCTAGACTGAAGTAAAATTATTTTACATGGAAGTAATTATTGAAATGTTGTAGTGGTTTTAATGAATGAAACACAATTCCTTACAGAAAAGGAAATGTTGGTACAACACCCGTGCCATCAAAAAAATAAGCTAGTGTATGTTTGCTTTTTCTTTTTACAGCAGGGAGATAAACATTTAGATGGCTGAGAAATAGTTTCCCTTCTTCGTAGGAGTAGGAGAAAATACTCAGGTCCGATTTGTGTCCGTAATAGACTTTTTTTATGTTGTGTGGTTTTTTTTTTTTTTTTTTTTTTTTTTTTTTTGGTTAGGTGGTGTTTCCTGACAATGACTGGATTCCCACAGAGAAGCTACATCTACTGGAAGCGTTGCTTCCATCCAGAGAAGAAGTTATGGTCACTGATGACATGGATATTGTAGAACTTGTGGAATTAGACCCAAGAGAGCAAAGCAGACATTACAGAGGAGAGGCCTATCAAGACGATGAAAGGCAGAGAGGCGGGGTACAATGCCAAACATCATGAGTTACTTCAGTATTTGGCTGAATAAAGGACTGTATTACAAATCGTGTTTCATATCTCAGCTATTTCCATCTTAGCTGAAAGTACCTCTTAGCAGTTGATCTTGAAACTGTTACACAGACCGACCTTAAATTAAAATATTGAACTTTAATGTAACCCTGTAACAGCAGCACTATGTTCCCTAACCCAATGCTATCTTCCTCAACATGTCGGTGATGAGATCTTCTGGGATATAGAGGTTAGTCCATATCGGACTTCATTCAGAGCCTGTGCACAAGTAACCAACTTTGCTGTGAACCAGTATTGCAGCATTATTTCTCAAAATAGTTACCATACTCAAAACTGGTTATGTGGAAAATGTCTGCTTTGAAGTACCCTATAAAATGTAAAATATGCAAAACTGCAACTTTGGATTCTCCTACTTGAAACAATTGCTATTTTTGCACATAAATGTTTTAAGTTGTTCAGGTATTTTTGTTTTTGTTTTTTTTTTTTTCTTAATAAAAATTTCAGATTTCATGTTTCTGTTTTTTTTTTGTTAATTTTTTGCATAGAATTTTTTTTTTTTTTCCATTCCCCATTTCCTGATCTTATTACATAAATATCCAGTTATGTTTTCCAGTCTGCACATGTTCCTTGTGAATTGCAGGAAAAATAAAGAAGGGCCAATTTCTCATACTTTGGGCTCAAATCAATGCAGTTTGCCTCACCACACCAAAAAAATTTATATGGCAAATGCATTCCTGCAATGCACTTATACAACGCATGTGCACAACTTTTTCTTGTCCGTTGAACACAGGAAGTCTTTTTAAAGGATAAGATGAAAGAACAAGTCCCATCTGCCACAGTGGCAGATGGCTTGTAGTTCTCAGTGAACTGAGAGGGCACTGATTAATGCCCTTTATAGTTCATTCACAAGCCCTGCAGCTTTCAAATTGACAGCCTGTAAAGAGGTAATGGTTGAAAGCTGTAGGACTTGTCTTCAGGAGCTTGACTTTGCATCTGCGATGCACTGATCACAGGTGCAACGCTTTGCAGGCTCCTGAAGGGAAAATAATAAATGCACATTTCACCCACCAGAAGTGGTCTGTTCCCATTATGGATCCAACTGGGTCCTACACGAACAAGACTAACTTGGGTTGATTTTACTAAAACTGGAGAGGGCAAAATCTGGTGCACCTGTGCATAGAAAAACCTTACAGGTGTTTTTTGTTTTGTGGTTTTTTTGGTTTGTTTTTTGAAGAGCTTGCTGGCAGGTTCTCCCTTTCTCAATTCTGCCTGTGAATTTACTTTTGTCAAACCATGTCTGACTGCTCAAAATCCCTGAGCCCTCAACCTTGGGTGTGCCCAAATGCACAGTCTGTGTTTTGGGGTCATGCACCCACATGGCTGTCAAGTTAGGACCAGTGAGGAACTGATCTCTGTTGCCAAGGAACATCCCGAGAGATTCAGGGGAACTTGGGCCTGTTGGAAGCATTTTAAAACAACCCCTACCTACCACCTACTAATGCAGCAATGATTGACTAGACCTATTCTGACACTGGGGAATGTTCTCATTTCTGAGATGCCTCTCGATCTATGCCTAGATATACCTTTTGTCCTTCACCAAGGCTTGCTCCTTTGGAACTTGTATCTGCGTATTACCCAGTTGACTGTCTTGATTCGCACCATGGCTTCAACTATAAGCTGATATTTCTATTGTGATGCGTTTCACATGTTGAAAGCCACCTACCCACAAGAATACACTCCTTTTTTTTTCCATTTTACCATACAATAAGCCCTCCCCCCCCCCCCCCCTTTTTTTTAATATATATATATATATATATATACACACACGTTATCACCAAGTTACTCTACTTACTAACTAACCCTCTTTCTACCTGATCTTTACCTCTCGCCTGTGTTCTACAATTATCTTTGTGCCACAACCAATACAGAATGCTGTACCTCAAACAGACATATTACACTCCATGACACTTACACTTCCAATTCTTGGACACGTGAAATGGATCTAAGGCTTCCATAGATGCTGTTCATATTTGGTATCACACACTTCACATTTCCCTGACAGAAAATCCTGCTCAACGGTCAAAAGACAATATATCTCCTAACTAATTTCTTATTTGTGGTACATTTCCTGGATTGTAATATTATGTGGACAATGTTTTACAACGTTATGTTTTATATTGCCTGTTATGCTTTGACCCGTCTGCGACACGGGAGGCGACATACAGTAATATGTCCGATTTTGGATTCACATCTGTATATGTATTGTTCTGCCTGCTTTCTTCTAATGAAAAATCTTTTTTGGAAAAAGTTAGGACCAGTGGCTTTGTCCATGCAGTCCCAATAGGCCTGAGTGGGACTGCCTGCATGTGGATGCATGGAGCTCTTGTGCAGGCAATGACTGCTCTTTGCATGGGTGTATGGATGGGTACACCATGTGAATGAGGCCCTCAGCACACTCTAACTGCTGACCTCCATCCTTTGCTTATTTGTTTGTATGGAACAGACGGCTGTGGTTCTACATTTCAGCTGTGACTGTTTACTGAAAGCTTTCCATCTGCATGGCCTTTGAGGGACATCTCTTTGGGCTTGTCGTTTTATAATATCAAGAATGCTACTGGTGGCAAAATCGGCCATTTTCTTTTGAGGAAGAAGCCTAGAGAAAAGATTATGTACTCTTCTATCTCTCTGAATGTTAAAGCCCAACTCCAGGAATTACACAAAAAATCTTTTATGTGGGCCCCCCACACTGCAAAGTTTAAAGGTTGGTTAACTCTGTGGAACTGAGGAATATGGTGTAATGCCATAATCCTCGCTCTAAATATCTTCATTCAGGTTTAGAAATTGCAAGTGGAATTCTGATTTCATTAGCTCTCTCTGGTAGGGAGACTTCTGGCTTTTGTGGATATCAAAAATGCTTGCTTACAAGTCCTCATCTTTCCAGTGCATCAGAGATCCCAATGTCTTGCCTTGGGACCCCTACACTGCCAGTCTGTGGCCCTGCTTTTCAGCCTCAGGTCTTCAGCAAGGGTGTTGACCCTGCTGTTCTTTCATGGTATCACCATTGTGGTATACTTGGACAACCTCCTGGTGAGGGCACAGTCAGCAAGGACTCTATTGGACAATATTCTTTTGACTGTACAAACGTTACAGCAGTTCAGGTGGATCCTGACTCTTCAAAAATCATTCAAAATAGAGTAAAGTGCAACAGCGCTAGGTGTCTGATGATTAATCGGATGAACAAATGAATATATAAATAGATGAATAAATTAAATAAGCTGCTAGCATAGAAAGTAAACCTCAAAAAACTTTGGATAGTATATAATAATAAAAATATGCAGCGCTCATATGTTAGAAATTGACCTGATCGCATAAATTAAACATAAATTAAGCAAGATTCATGATTAAAATAAAGCATTAGAATATTAAAATATTATAATATTAAACTTGTGACTTCTGTGGTGCATCTGAGGTTGAGAAACCAGAGGGACGTTTGTGACTCTTGTGGTGAAAAAACTGAGAATAGCTTGCACTAACCTGATGTCTCAGCACATGGAGCATGGAGTAATTAAGACCTACTCCTGGTACTCTGAAAGGAAGCCACTGAAGAGGATGATGTTATCTTATCTCTCGCCACTAGATGTCATGTTCCCAGGACAGCAGGACGGGGATCCCAGAGATGTACATCAGCCAATGGAGGGATTAATCCAGCAAATCAGTCAGCAACCCACAGAAAACCAAGAGGAATCGAGCACCTTCAAAAAGCCCGGGCTCCCTCCATAATAAGAGAACCACATGCCAGAAGCTTTGATAGTGTAGTAGGTATTTATTTGTGCAATAATTTCAAATGGTAAAACACACTTACAAAATTCAGAATGCAGGAACAATAGGGCAGCTAGGTAGTAAGTCCAGACAGTTGGGGGGCACCTCCCTTAATTTTTTATTATATACTTCAAAAATCATTGCTGAAACCAGCACATTGCTTGGAGTATCTGGGTTTAGTCTTGGACACCTTTTCTGGCCAAAGTGTCTTTCCACAGTAGAAACGGCAAACTTTCCAGTCTCAGGTGAAATCTCCAGTTTAGAAGCTATTTGACTCAGATTTTGCATAAGTGTCCTGGGCTTGCTGGTAGCCTCCTTCAAGGCAGTTCCCTTGTCCAGTTTTTCACTCCAGAAATTTGCAATGCAACAGTCCATTGTCCTGAGACAGGTTGGTCTGTCAAGAGATAGGACTGACTTGTCCCATGATGACAGAATATTGCAAAGTTGCCATACCAGAAGCTGTATGCAATGTGTGACTCAGATAAGATCAGTTTCCATCTTGGGCTTCCCACATGGGCAATTTGCTTCTTAATACCCTCTTACTAAACATGTCTGATGTGGTGAAACATGGAAATCAATTGTCATCATGCAATGCCAATGCCTTTTACAGTTTGTGAGCAAACTATTGTGAGTATTAGATTAATCATAACATAGTGCATAACAGTGTGATAGTCCTTCAATATCCAAACATAAATGATGTGAACTATATCCTGTGTCCTCCAAAAGAAAGTGCTCAGTATCTTTTAAAAAATTCTTCAAAGTGATCTTTGTTATTTTCCATTCATAAAATGTCTTTGTGCTTGGTGACCCACGCCCCTAATTGATCCACACTCACCAGACAAGGTGGACTCTTTGTTTTAGGGCACAAGAGTCTAAAAAGCTTTTTCTGGTGAGGGATGCCTTCACATATACAGGTGAAACTCAAAAAATTTGAATATTGTGCAAAAATTCATTTATTTCAGTAATGCAGCTTAAAAGGTGAAACTAATATATGAGACTCATTACATGCAAAGCAAGATAGTTAATAGTTCAAGCCGTGATTTGTCATAATTGTGATGATTATGGCTTACAGCTCATGAAAACCCCAAATCCACAATCTCAGAAAATTAGAATATTATGAAAAGGTGCAATATTCTAGGCTCAAAGTTTCCCACTCTAATCAGCTAATTAAGCCATAACACCTGTAAAGGGTTCCTGAGCCTTTAAATGGTCTCTCAGTCTGGTTCAGTAGGAATCACAATCATGGGAAAGACTGCTGACCTGACAGTTGTGCAGAAAACCATCATTGACACCCTCCATTAGGAGGGAAAGCCTCAAAAGGTAATTGCAAAAGAAGTTGGATGTTCCCAAAGTGCTGTATCAAAGCACATTAATAGAAAGTTATGTGGAAGGGAAAAGTGTGGAAGAAAAAGTTGCACAAGCAGTAGGGATGACCGCAGTCTGGAGAGGATTGTCAGGAAAAGGCCATTCAAAAGTGTTGGGGACTTTCACAAGGAGTGGACTGAGGCTGGAGTCAGTGCATTAAGAGCCATCACACACAGATGGATCCTGGACATGGGCTCCAAATGTCGTATTTCTCCTGAACAAACTACGTCAGAAGCGTCTTACCTGGGCTAAAGAAAAACAGACCGCTCTGTTGCTCAGTGATCCAAAGTCCTCTTTTCTGATGAGAGCAACTTTTGCATTCCATTTGGAAACCAAGGACCCAGAGTATGGAGGAAGAATGGAGAGGCACACACTGCAAGATGCTTGAAGTCCAGTGTGAAGTTTCCACAGTCCGTGTTGATTTGGGGAGCCATGTCATCTGCTGGTGTTGGTCCACTGTGCTTCATTAAGTTCAGGGTCAACGCACCCGTCTACGAGGAGATTTTGGAGCACTTCATGCTTCCTTCCGCAGACGAGCTTTATGGGGATGCTGACTTCATTTTCCAGTAGGACTTGGCACCTGCCCACACTGCCAAAAGCACCAAAACCTGGTTCAATGACCGTGGGATTACTGTGCTTGATTGGCCAGCAAACTCACCTGACCTGAACCCCATAGAGAATCTATGGGGCATTGCCAAGAGAGAGATGAGAAACATGAGACCGAACAATGCAGAAGAGCTGAAGGCCGCTATTGAAGCATCCTGGTCTTCCATAACACCTCAGCAGTGCCACAGGCTGATAGCTTCCATGCCACGCCACATTGAGGCAGTAATTTCTGCAAAAGGGGCCCAAACCAAGTACTGAGTACATATGCACGCTTATACTTTTCAGAGGTCCGATATTGTTCTATGTACAATCCTTGTTTTATTGATTGCATGTAATATTCTAATTTTCTGAGATTGTGGATTTGGGGTTTTCATGAGCTGTAAGCCATAACCATCACAATTATGACAAATCATGGCTTGAACTATCTTGCTTTGCATGGAATGAGTCTATCTCATATATTAGTTTCACCTTTTAAGTTGCATTACTGAAATAAATGAACTTTTGCACAATATTCTAATTTTTCGAGTTTCACCTGTATACTTTGGACTCCTGCTGTGAGTGATGTCCCAATGTGATGGATATGTGGTTAGACGTACAGTATATAATAATAGAATAATACAACAATGAAAACTTTAAATGTTTGCACATTGATTGGGACTTTGTATACAAGTGCACTGTATTCATAGTTTGATGTTTTCATTGTTATATTATTGCATTTATTTTACTCATTTAGCACATCTGTTGGTTCAAGTACGCAGGGCATATATATTTTTTCCCCAATATAGGGATGTGTTAAGTCACTGGGAAGGAGGGGCACATCTTTAAGTCCTATGGTATAGAGATACACGTATGTTTGTGGGTCACCACCATGTATGTAGGGTGGCATATTCACTCATTAGAGGCAGCACAGCAATTATTTATGTTTATGTTTTCATTCTTACAATTGCTTACTAATACACATTTGTGGTATTGCTAGCAGCAGCCAGTTTATTTATATAGTCCTCTGCGCAGGCTATGCTTAAACATATCCATACGTCACCTCCTGCCATCCAGGCATTTGGGGCGCACACACATGCCCACTGTCAACCCGTGCTGTGAGAGAAAGCATGAGTTAATCAACAGGTTTCACGCAATGATTTTGGAAGAAACCTGCTGGCCAGCTGTGTCCAATCACAGCACAAAGTCCTGTGTTTAAAAACACACAGGGCTTTGTACACAGAACAGCAATCTGACTGTCTCTCCTCCCTGAAAAACGGGGAGCAAAAAAACATCAGGTATGTAAGTAAAAGCAGCACATAGTACACACATTCCACTTGATAGGCACACAGTTAACCCCTTTCCAGCCAGTGTCATTAGTACAGTGTCAGTGTATAGTATTATATCTGATCACTGTATTAGTGTCACTATTAATGTCAGTTAGTGTACCTCCATGCGAAGGTCTGTTAGCACCAGATTGCCCACCACATTATCACAGTCCCACTATAAGTCGCTGATCACTGCCATTACCAGTATAGCAACATAGCTGTGTGAATTCCAGTATTGGGGTAGGCATATAGGGGCCCCAGTGTATTACATTGCCCAAGGGACCATGATGCTATTAAAATGGCCTTGTTCAGGTGCAGTTGGAAAACTGACAGGTGGATATGATTGGAACCTTCATGTGAAAGGGGCCTTATATTGTACATCCTTTTTTTGTGTGTGTACATACAGTATGTATGTACACTGAGAATTATAACAAGTATTGGCCATCAGGGGGAGTATGTGGCAAATATTCTACAAGAAGGAAGAATGGTATAGATAAGGATACTAAGTGGAAACAAAGTTTCAGATTCTGACAATAAAGTAACATAGTGATAGTGCGGAGGTTTTTTGACCAAATACTAACTAATAAATAAAAATAATCCACGGTGGATCTCTTTTCAAATTGTGGTAAAGTCTGTAACCCATCTGAAAGAAACCGAAGAAAGGTAAATCCAAATGTGCAGCAAATGCCTATGAAAGTAAATTGATCCAACAAACATATGGGAGGTGAATGTGTTTCATTAGGCTGATGGCACATGGGTGACTCTGCCGATAATGTTCCTGCCACTGACAATCCGTCAAAGTCCATTGCGGCAGGATTGCTAAACAGTTGCCTGTTTGTTCCTATGGAATATCTTCCTTTGTATATGTAGCTCCCATCCAAGGGCGGACTGACCATTTGGAAACTCGGGCACTGCCCGAGGGCCCGGGGTCAGTAGGGGGCCCCATGAGATGCCCCTGGTACCTTTTTCATAGGCTTTTTTGAGTTTGGGCAAGGACACAGGGGCCCCATGATCCCCTATTGCCCGGGGGCCCCATGAGTTGTCAGTTCGCCTCTGCTCCCATCACTAACGATTTAGATTCAGCAGCTTTCAAACCAGCTACAGAGTGAAATCTCGCTGCATGTGACTACACAGGGAGCAATTCCATAGAGACAACAAACAGTCTTGTTAACGATCCTGCTGCTGGCAACTCGTGGTAAGCAGAATAATCATCCATGTGTCATCAGCCTTAACACAGACTATTGAAAATAATCCTTAAAAAATATATTAGTCCTTAGTCCCTACTTGGTGAACACCCGCTGGCAATGTTTCTATTTCTGGGTGTCAGAGTGCATGTGCATGTCCCCCACTGCCCCCCCTCATTGGTTCAGAGAGAGAAGAGAGAACACAGTACTGTGAGTAATAGTACCACATTTTACACACGTTAGATTAGCACATTGAACCCTTTTATCGCCCTTATTACAGTGTCAGTATTTATACAGATCTATATATTGATCACGAACAGCAGTATACTAGTGCCCCCTAAGTATAGTGTCCCCCAAAACACAGTGTTAGTAGGATCAGCCCATTCACCACAAGAACTAGCATTTAGCCCCTCTGCTGTTTTTCACGGACGATTTGTATCAATTGATGGTAGGCCAAAGCAATTTATACACACAACAATACATCACCGCCCACCCAAATTCAGCTCTTGCCAGACAATTCACATTTTTTGGGCCTAACCCTCAACATGGGCATTACAAAAAATAATGAATTGCGGTAATATTGGTTCACAGACCTGATTCATCATATGCTCATGTTCTCTGCTGTTACATATATGCCCAACAAGGATCAGCAACATATTGGTACATTGATGGACTTTGAGCGGTTTATACCAGGATGATGCCTAAAGCTACAGGCATCATCCTGGTATCGTTTTTTCCAGCTGGTGGTTTACATTCATATAAAAGCAATCATAGTGTCCAATTAAACACTGGATCGCTTTTAAAAGCAGTGTCCCCCTCCCTTCTGCCGCCTTTCATGGCTTTCTTGGGCTCTCCCGTCCGAACCCAAGAATGTAGCAGGAAGTTCTGCCAGCTGACCACAGAGCTGATCAGAGACCAGAATGGCTCCAATCACCTCTGTGGTCTAAGCAACAAGCATTTCATTATTTGAGTTTTGCAGGATATAAACAGCACCATTTTAAAATTGGGAAAGCATCTGATCACACCTATCTTGGAGTGATCAGATGTTTTAAAGGCAGAGGAGAGATCTAGAGTCTAATAGACCCCTGATTTCTCAAAAACGAGTACCTGTCACTGCCTATTGCTATCAAAGGGGATATTTACATTCCCTGTGATAACAATAAAAGTGATTTTTAAAAATGCCCCTACCCCCATGCTCGGCGCAAAGGCAAAAGAAAGCGTTGGTCCCGTGTCGGTAGATTGCACCACGCATGTGAGGTATCACCACAAACATCAGATTGAGGGCAGTAATTCTAGCACAAGACTTCTTGTGTAAGTCTAAAGTAGTAACCTGTAAAGCATTGCCTAGGGATATTAAAAATTGACGTTGTTTGTCGCTGTTGCATGGGCATGTGCAATTTTAAAGCATTACATGTTTGTATCTATTTACTCGGAATAACATCATTTTATCAAACAATTTGGCGATATATTGTGTTTTTGCATTAAAATTCAAAAAAGTGTATTTTTTCTTTAAAAATTTGTGTTTGAAAAATCGCTGCGCAAATACTGTGTAATATAAAAAATTTATACACCAACCATTTTATTCTCTAGTCCTTTTACTTTAAAGAAATATATAATGGTTGGGGGTTCAAAGTAATTTTTAGCAAAAAAAAAAGTTTTTCCATGTAAACAAAAAGTGTCAGAAAAGGCTTGGTCTTCAAGTGGTTAGAAGAGTGGGTGATGTGTGGCAGAAGCTTCTAATGTTGGCCCTGAAATGCCAGGATAATAGAATCACCCCCCCCCCCTTCCCCAAATGAGCTGCTAAGGGGCATGTTAAGTATTCTGCAAATCACAAGTTTTTGGAAAATGAAGAAAGAAAGCAAAAATGTATTTTTTCTTTTCTTTTTTTCCTTTTTCAAAAACCTACGACAAAAATTATATCTACAAATTACTCACCATGCATCTTATCAAATTACTTGGTGTGTCTACTTTCCAAAAAGGGGTCATATGGGGGGGTGCTCCTACTATCCTGACATTTCAGAGCCTCCAAAGCTGTGATAGGTAGTGAGGAATTGACATAAGGAAATATGCCCTTTGAAAGCCTGAGGGTGGTGCAATTGGGAGATTCCGCCAGAGATCTGCTTCCTCGCCACTGGGGCACAGAGCCAAGGTATTATACAGTGCCTTGAAAGAGTATTCATATCCCTTGACATTTTCCACATTTTATCAGGTTACAAGCAAAAACATAAATGTATTTTATTGGGATTGTATGTGTTAGACCAACACAAAGTGGCAAATAATTGTGAAGTGGAAGGAAAATGATAAATGGTTTTTTAAATTTTTTTACAAATAAATATGTGAAAAGTGTGGTGTGCATTTGTATTCAGCCCCCTTTACTCTGATACCCCTAACTAAAATCTAGTGGAACCAATTGCCTTCAGAAGTCACCTAATTAGTAAACAGAGTGTGTAATTTAACCTCAGTATAAATACAGCTGTTCTGTGAAGCAGAACATTAGTGAACAAACAGCATCATGAAGGCCAAGGAACACACCAGACAGGTCAGGGATAAAGTTTTGGAGTAGTTTAAAGCAGGGTTAGGTTATAAAAAAATATCCCAAGCTTTGAACATCTCATGGAGCCCTGTTCAATCCATCATCTGAAAATGGAAAGAGTATGGCACAACTGCAAACCTACCAAGACTTGGCGTCCACCTAAACTGACAGGCCGGGAATCTGTATTGTCTTTACTCAGAGAATTAATCCAAGCCTTTCTCTCAGCGTTCATCAGGTTGTTGTCCATCATAATACAATGATCTGCTCTCTCCAAGGTCCATAATCAGCGGGTAGAAGGCTAGCCCCTAATCCCCTCCAAAAGCCCCTATCCTGATTGGGTCTGTCACAGCTTGGATTTTGGAAGCCTGTATGTGGCTAGGCTGCCAAAAAAGTCTCTCACATATGGTATCCCCATACTCTCGAAAAGTAGCAGAATGTATTTTGGGGTGTGAATCCACATATTCACATGGCTTGTGCTAGCAATATATCATTTAAGTGACAAATTCGTGTAAAAAAAAAAAAATTGTCATTTTCCAAAAATGTGTGGCAAAAAATAAAATCTTCCATGGATTTAACATGCCCTGGCATTTTAGCACCTCATGAAATGTGTCATAAAGTAAAAGCTACATAAATTCCATTATCTATACCATAGTTTGTAGACGCTATAACTTTCACACAAACCAATTAATATACACAGAATTTTTTTTTACCAAAGACATATAGCAGAATACATTTTGGCCTAAATTTATGACTAAATTTTATTAGTTATGAGTTCATTGGATATTTTCATATTAGAAAATATTGGGGTTTTTAAATCTCTGTCTTTTTTCCGTTTATATATAAAAAAAATAAAGAACCCAGTGGAAAGCTCTATTTCTTTGATAAAAATGACATAAATTCCGTTTGGGTACAGCATTGCATAATCACACAATTACCAGCTGAAATAGCGCAGCACCAAAATAGCAAAAAATGGCCTGGTCAGAAAGGGGGGGGGGGGTTTAACCTTCTGAGGCTGAATTGGTTAATATCACTTAAAGGCTTCATGTACATGCGCAGCTCTAAACTCGAGTTTAGGAGCTTTTGGCATTTTTTTGCCAAAGCTCCTAAACTCAACTCCATTAACCACTTGCCCTCCTGAGGATTTACCCCCTTTTGCATTAGCTTGTAGCAGCATTTGGCTGCAATTAGCGGCAATTTCCTGTTTTTTTACAGTGTTTTCTAGAGGTTTTTTGACCAAAAAAAAAGGGTTTTTTTGGTCAAAAAAAGTCCAAAAACGCCAGTTTGCGGTGTTTTTTACCACATTCCAAAAATGCCAGTTTGCTGTGTTTTTCAGAGTTACAGCGTTTTTTTACAGCTAAAAAACTCCTCTAGAAGCCCACTAGTTCTGGGTTTTTTTCCAGCCAAAAAACATTGATTACAGTCTATGTGTGCATGGACACATAGGATAACACGCTGGGGGGTTTACTAGCTGTAGAAAAAAACATCAAAAGCCAAAAACAGCCGCTGTAAAAACATCCAGTGTGCATGACAGCTCAACCTCCCTCTCCTGAACGAGGAAGAATCATGTAGGAACGTTTTGACCTCTGGCCAATACCGCGGAAACTGCAGTGCTAAGTTTTTGCAGCGATTTGCGTTTTCCCCGTGGTAGGCGGCCAGAGTAGGCTTGTGTACATGAAGCCTAATTCTTCCTATTGTTGATATATATATATATATATATATATATACACATATATACATCTGTATTTCCTATGGATCTACTTTGTATGTACCCATTGAAATTGCTCACATTGATTGGCTGTTAATAAAACCTTTTTAAAAGAACAAATATGTGAATTTGTTAAGTATATGGCCGACTAACATAGCATATATTTGTATACTTTAGGAGCTCTGCCACCGTCCCTTCATCACAGTACTTCATAATCATAAAAGTAAAAAAGCCAATCTTTCCGTTACGTACACTTGCTTGCTATATGTGTGATGTCACTGATTTGATTCAAGCATTGTTTAACATTTCCAGTCTTCTCAGTTTTCTGCTGGAAGCTCTATTTGTAAATGATTGCAAATAATCCCATATATCAGCTAGGCTCGTTGGTCTAGGGGTATGATTCTCGCTTTGGGTGCGAGAGGTCCGGGTTCAAATCCCGGACGAGCCCTGTTTTTTTTTTTTTTCTTGTACCCTATTTATTCTATTTTAACATTTAAAAAAACCTGCACTGTCCGAAGCTGTATTTTGTTTACATACACTTTATAGGTGTAATACCTCAGCACTCCATCTCTTGAAAATATAGTTCTCATGTGTGGAGAGCCTGCAGTCCCATGGCTCAGAATAGCAGTGGTTT